TAAGCTAGCACCACGATTCTTCGGGCGATTCCGCGTGATTGAGCTCGGACCAAACAGTGTGAACACCATGCGGCCTGCGCCTGAAGTCTCCGGCAGCCGGTCGGCTCGTCCTATCATCCGCCACGTGTCCTACCTTCGTCCCGTTCCTTCTTCCCCATCTTTGCCTTCATCTGATTCCTCCCCCACTGCGGAAGAAGACGAGAGAGAGAGAGAGAGAGAGAGAGAGAGAGAGAGAGAGAGAGAGAGAGAGAGAGAGAGAGAGAGAGAGAGAGAGAGAGAGAGAGAGAGAGAGAGAGAGAGAGAGAGAGAGAGAGAGGAAGTCAGGAGTCTGAGTGACAGACTGGACTCGAACGCTGGAACTACCGGATCTCACCACTGGGCCTACGGGCCCGAGATCTGGGACGTATCTGGCTTGCTTTCAGGGAGTAGAGAATTAGACGGTCTTTTCAGTAGGCGGTGTCGGTGGGCAGGATGTCAGAGAGAGTAATGTGCATGAGGATAAGGAAAGCCAGTAGATATTGTCGGATATAGAGAAATAAATAAATAAGGAAGATCGGAAGCTGAACTGCGAAAGGGAGACTCCCTGTCAGACTGAGAATGATCGACTGTGCCGGGGCGATTTCCAGTGGGCAATAAACCAGGATTCTCGGATTCCGGACTATCCCGACACCCGCAATAGACAATATTATCGGACCCCAGGCTTCGTCGCTATTACTATCCGTTTTCCTCCCTATTACGTCCTTCTCCCGTATCACAACCTTTTTTTTTTTTTTTTTTTTTGAAAATCGAATTGCCGCCTGCCATCAGAGGTGATACGAGCATCCCCTGATGATAGGCTCCTAGTATGGCTCCATTCTATTGGTGGGGAGCTGCACCTGCTGGAAACCGGGTTCAGCGTCCCTTTAACAAAATAATAGTTGGTACCTCTTCACCCCGCTTCTAGGGGCGCCAGATATTGTCCTACACTAGCACCAGAAACTATTCCTAGGTTCAAGAAAACCTAGCTAATCCAAACCATACCAGCTCAAAAGAACCAATGCAGCAGGGGCGAAAAGAAGGCTATATTGTGACGCCCAATCTCACGCCCAGCGCGACTTTCTGTTTCAGGGTATTAGTTGGCCTAGAAGTGCGAAGAGGGGTGTGCCAAGGATTTTAGGAAAGTGGGGGTGGAGTCCCAGGTCGGAACTGAAATCTACGGCGTCAAGTTTCAGGGGTAGAAGTGCAAGTGTCCCGTTTTAGCTCAGAATCGGGGCGATCGCCGATCTTGTGGCCTGGGTCGGGGACGTATCTGATGTACAGGCGAAACACTACGAGTATCTCACTTAGAGCACAGGTACGGTCATCGGCCAATGCACGTCTCATAGTCTGATGAGGACGGTCGTAGTCAGAGACCGTGCTCTCGACACTCTGCTTCGGAGCGGGTTCGTCGGACAACCCTGCTTCGCAATACTAGTTGTATTGCCGACACTCCGAGCACGGTGTGCGGGGTAGCCCGACTGCTGCGGGTTAAGCTCCCTAAAAACATCTTTGAATCTCTGGCAGGCGTCCATCGAATCAGGTGAGCTCGATCTTTTTTTACTCCATCTTTCTTCTCTGAATCTAAGCTCGGGCTCAAGATCTGGTTCCAATCTCCAGATATTACTAGTTTTTTTGCAGTTTGGAAGGAGGGGTAGGCATTAATAAAATTCAAGTTTTTCCCTTCCTTTTTCTGTTCTTTGTTTGTTTTCTTATTCTAAAAGGGCAGCAGTCTTGATTCGGGCTCGTTTGGTCATTGGATGGTTTGAAAAATGCAGGCAGATGCAGGCACGACACTTTGGGGCGTGGTGGTGGTTTCTTTAAAAAATGTGGGACTGGTAGCTGCCCGTGGGACCGCGCTCTGGGTTTTGGTCGAAATGGTGGCAAAGTAGTTGCAGGGTGGATCTCTGGGGGGTGGTGGCAGTTTGTGACGCCCAACCTCACGCCCAGCGTGACTTCCTGATCGAAGTAGACTGTGGGCCTGGAAGTCCGACAAGGGGTGTGCCAAGGATTTTCTGGAAAACTGGTGGTGGAGTCCCAGGTCAGAACTGAGATCTCCTATGGCAGAGTTTTTCGGGGGCACGAGCGCAATTTGGCGGAGAGGGTGGACCACCTCTGGTCATAAGCCAGATGGCATGTGCGGGTCATTCAAGGCCGTGCGATCCATCGGTTCTGAGGACAGCGGTTCGCTGGAAGGTACTTCCAGGGTGGGTGGGGTTCCGATGAGTGGGGCCATCGGAAGTTGCAGCGTGGCGCCGGTCGTCGTGCGTTCGGGTTAAGCCTTCGGGATTCCGGAGCTCTCTGGTCGCCTCGTCGTCGGCAATCTCCGCAGGGCGTGCTGGGCCAGTAGGGGGCTATGGCCTTCCACGGGACGACGCTGAGTCAGTGATACGGAAGAAGAAGATGGAAGGGAGGGAAGCTGGTGGAGATAACGTCAAATCCGGGGTGGGTGAAGTAGTGGGTGTGGTCCTGAGTGGGGAAATCAAAGCACTGGGGGTCGCTAGTGGTGGCGCAGTGAAACTCCCTAGGACACAGTCGATTCTCTGTTAGGCAAGGGTATCTCTGTCAGAGGCTTTCCTCTATCCAAGGGGTGAAATAGTCTGGGTCGTACAACAATGACTCAAAGCTCTCGTAGTGTGTCATAATGTCATCGCAAAGCTGCGAGACGCCTAAGGGCGGGTCTGTGCCGATTGCGATCACCGCGTGCGAGCACGTGCTGGCTGCGGGAATCGAGTCACTCTTACGTGTGTTTGCACGGGATGACTGCTCCGTCGCAGACCCCGGATGGCCGTATCCAATCAAACGGTACTCCTGCAATTGACGAATCGACGCACGGGGACACGTGTAAAGGCGCAGCTCAGGTCGTGATTACACGCGCCCTCACGCGGCATTCGCTGGGCCAGACGTTCGATTATCTGATCACTCCGTAATTTTTGAGCATGCAAGATGCAACAACTACAACAGCTCAATCAAAAGATAAGCAAAAATGGAGACAACATTGGTGACTATGCAAAATTCCTACCCTTCATACGAATACATCAAGACGAAAGACAAAGGCAAGGATCGGGCATGAGAATCCGCAATCAGACATAATATATCCGAAATGGAAATCGTGAGGACAAGTGTGAGCAAAAATCCAAGTCCAGATTCCGAAGAACAGAAACGGGCGAATTGCCCTGAGCCGACATCAAAACTTATATACACAAGTAGGGAGGGAGAAGAGATAAAGAAACAGCAAATCCGCGTCCGTCAACCTCAGCTCCCCCTTCCTCTCTCTCTCTCTCTCCAATGCAGACAGTCCGTCGCCGCGCACCAACCCACGAAGTCGTCACCCCGCTTAGTCCTCCCGCACCCGTCGGGTTCGCCCGTGCCCACAGTCCGTCGTGGCCCGCGTCAACCCCGCGCGTTTGGCACCAGCTCGTTGGGTCGCCCGACTCCTGCTCTACTCACCTCTTACTTCGCTCGTGTGCCGACCCTCTCTAATCGCGCAACCCCGAGCTTCCAACAGCTGGTTAAGAGAGGTAACTAATCAGAATTCGAAACCAAAATTACTTCGCTCGTGTGCCGATCGTGGCTACCAAAAACGCAGCAAAAGAACGAGAAGAAGGGCGGGAAAGAAGAAGCAGAAGAAGAAAGATACAGTTATAATAGCGCTAGCCCAAAATTACAGGTACACACCCGATTAAAGGCGCCGACTAATCAGAATTCTATTACAGACGCATAAAGAAGCACATGAGCAAAATGCGCAAAAGTCCTAATTACAAAATTCCTAAATTCCTATCTAATGCGAAAAAGCAAAAAGCACAAGTTTCGGAAAGAAAGTCCAAAATTCCGAGAGCCATCGGGGTTCGACAAGATTTGAAAAAGAATTCGAAAAAGAATTCGAAAAGGAAATTTCAAAAAGAAAGAAGCAAAATTCCCACGTGATGTCCGCGCCTAAAAAGTTCCGAAACCGAAACAAAAGGAACGACGTCAACATTTATTATTCCCGCGCTCGGCGGCACTCCAACCATCCGCCCGACCAATCAATCGCCCATCCCGGGACTCACTCAGCTCCGAACTCAGCCATCCGAAAGGAATCGACGCAAAAGACGAAGAAGCGAGGTTATTGATGCAATTTCTCATCCATCCCAATCTCCCGGAATTGGCCCAACCTTCCCAGCTTAGGATCCCTCAGGACCCTCGTTGCAATCGCGCAGAAAATCACGCACCACAGAAAGTAGTTCGTCACATATGTGACTCCCAGGGGGTTCCAATATTAGCAAGCTCCTGCTTGCTTGTTGACACGTGTCGATTTCTCTAATCGACCGACACACGGAGCTTTTCTCTCTATGCCACTTACCGTTTGAATGAGTGTGGATGTCGTCCATCGTGGCAAACACAGCTCTACTATTAATTCCTCAGGAAGGGCCATTGACGATCCACGGAGGGGATTACACGTGTCGTCGTCATAAAGCGTGCCCATTAGTCATACATCAGCGAGCGCCAGGAAGGGGAAAAGGGAGACGGTGCATGGAGGGATGGCGAGGGGGAGGGTTGATTGGTAGCTGGGGGAAGGAAGCTTTCCATTCCGGCCACCGCCAGTTCCTGATAGCGAACGATCCGGTGAAAGCGGGGGAATCGGTTGCTTGTGTGAGGGAGGGATGCGAGGTAATCGGGGTAGAGGGTGGTAAAGGTTCGGAAGAGCACCGTGCGGAAGTGATCGTGGTTCTTGCATGGGGGGATGGTCCCCGTAATCATGCAGTATACCTCGATCATATTGTGGCCTCGCCACGCGGCGCTGAGGAGACGAACATGGAGGCAGAAGACAAGGAGGGCGCATGGGGTGGAAGGGTAAGGATGAACAGTGTTAGCGCGGCGGGTTGCGTAGAAAAAGCGGAAGGTATCGATGAGGAAGGGATTGCTGGGGAAGGTGACGCGAGTGGTAATCTGGCGGAAAGAGAGGTGGTCAAGGGGACGGCGGGATAATGACCGGGGACGAAGCCCGATGCCCCGCATCGGTAAGTGGACGAATTAGTGGACGGTCGGTGGTGGAGGGGGAGGGGGATCGACTTCGTCACCGCCTTGCCGGTGCGGCCGAAGTCTCGGCAGCTGGGTCCCCATGTTCAGGCTTGGGCGGCCCCTGATCTCGCCCAGGATCGTCGAGGGTCGGCGGACCCGCTGCGCTGACAAACTCTAGCTGTCGCTTTCCGGCTACGATCTCCTCCCTCTTCTGCGCTTGGGCCTGCGCTCGAGCCTCCTCATGCACTTCCTCCTCAAATCCTTCCCACTCTGACTCTTCTAGCTCCTCCTGATCTTCTTCTTCTTCCTCCTCCTCTTCCGGGCTCTGTTCCCCTTCGCTGTGCTCACTGTAACTCCCCTCCTCCGGAGTCTCTACCTCTGCGTCCTCTTCTTCAGCTTCTTCTTCTTCTTCCGAGCTTTCCTCTTCCGCTTCAATCTCTACCTCCGCATTCTCGAAAGTCGTCTGATCTTGACAGAAGGCGAGATCGACTATTTCGTGCGGGTCCAGATAATCGTGCTGTGACAGTGGGTTGCGGCTGCTTCCTTGCTCGTCCAAGCACGCCAACCATTGAAGGTATGGTGTCAATGTCCGTGGGAGGACGTGCGGGACTGGGCTGTTGTCGCTCTGCGAGACGATCTCAAGTGGGAGATCGTCGGCCAGCTGCGCAAGGGGGACCGTTAGCTCTTGCACGATCGGTTGGCGATGGTCGGGCCGCACCGATCCGAAGAGGAATCCGAGTAGATCGCCCTGCACTCCTGTTCTCCACGCCTGGACGATAAGCAGCTCAAGGTACTCAGCCCACTGGCAGTGATCCTCGTGCCGCGTCCACGTGACCTTCACCCCAACCAGACACACCGACAGATCGGCGAAATGCTCCAGCCAACGCCTCTAGTGTTGGGGATCAAGGAGGGGGACAGCGAGTGATTCCTGACAAAAGGAGAGATGCAGATGAACTCCGGATTGCCCGAAGGTAGGAAAGAAGGAAGGGAGGTCGAAGGTAGAGATTGGGGACGGGTTCATTGAGGATGTTGGAAGGGGATGAGTTCAGGGAGCACCACCGCCGGCTTGTGCTGGAAAGCTCGGATCCTGTCGAGGTCGATGCCGTCCATGGGGAAATAATTATCCCCGTGGGGCGTGAGCCAACGATTCCACTCTGACGCCAACTGCTGCGCCCACAGCCGAAGCGTCGTCTTGATAGTCGTATGCCGCAGCGGGCTGGTGGTGCTGATGTCGCCGCTGAAGTCGACAACCGTAGACACGTGGCTGATTCCGGGGGCTGATCGTCGATGAACCGCTACTGCTTCCGCCAAAACAACCGCTCGGGGACTGCCTGCAAATCGAAACTCAGCTGCTGCGTACACTCCCTCAGTGCAGAAGAAGTGCGCGAGTCGCCGAAGATCCGAGCTGAGCCGTGGATGATGAACTTGTCGAATCGCCGAGATGTAGCACCGTGGTACCAGCAGAGGATCGCCGAGAGCTCGCTCCGCCAGAAAACTCATGGCGATGGTGACGGGGACGGAGTAATAGAAGGAAAACGAGAAGGAGATGGGGAAACAGGCGACTCAGGTTTTCTCTCTCTCGCTTGCTCGCTTGCTCGCTCGGTTGTTCGTTTCAGTCGGGGTAGTAGAACTATCAATGCCATTCGCTGAATGCACGGGGTGGTAGTAGCCGTCCCGCAACAAGCAAGAAACAGGGGGATGAGTGAACCTAGACTAGGAAAAACGAAAAAGGAAAGAAAAACATAAACAAGCGGAGGCGAACTTCTGGAAGGGGTGAACGTAGGGGACAAAGTGGCAGAAGCAGGGGGCGACACACACACACTCACATGAAAAAAAAAAAAAATAATAATAATAATAATAAACAAAAACTTATGTGGCAGTGTATATATCCATGTTCTAGCAGTAGATTCATTCGATTTGGCTAATCCTATCATTGGAAATAGCATGAGGCCAGTCACAACGTTGGAGACTGACCTGTTGTTCGTTGCTTTGCTCATCCTATCGATGGAAAACTCTCTCTTTCTCTCTCTCCCTCTCTCTCTCTCTCACACACACACACACACACACACACA